CTTACGGGAGGTCCCGGGGGGCCCGGAGGACCCTTCGGTCCCAGCAGACCGCGCGGCCCCTGCAAGAGGAGAGAGCGAAGGTGATTCGGACTCGGCCAGGGCTCCGCCTCTGCCCGCCCCCCCCAGGTCTTCCAGCCCCAGATCTGTTTCTGGGTCCCTGCTGAGCCCCTCGCTGTCACTGCTCGAAGACGGTCCCTGATTCAGCCCCGAAGGAGTCCCTCCTGCACCTGCCCCCACCCCCCCGCCCTGGCCCACCCCGCCCTGGCCCTCGTGAGGACACAGAATCCCGCCCGGTCAGCCACTTACCGGTTCCCCAGGCAGCCCTCGGGGCCCAACTTCTCCGTCGTCACCCTGAGGGGAGCAGGGGCCAGGGATTAGGGAAAGGGACCAAGACCTGGACACTAAGGCTTCGCCCGGGGACGCGTCAGCACGTCCAGCCCAGACAGGACGCAGGGCCTGCCTCACGCGGCCCCCCACACCTTCCCTCCACAGTCCCGTCTGCCTCGCCCACTCTCCACACGCAGTGTCCCTGCCACCGACCAGCGTGCCACACGCACTCCTCCTGCCAGGCTCCGAGAGGGGCCGGCGGGGGCAGCGAGGCCCGCGGGTACGTACCCTGTCTCCGTCTTCTCCCGGCGGTCCGGGTGGGCCCGAGGGGCCAGGGTCACCCTGGAAGCCAAGCAGAGCCAGGTTAGCCACTGAGGGGGTCGCGCATGCCTGTCCCACGTCCCCGTGGGCTTTCTCTAGTTCTGAGACGGGAGCCCCCACCCCCACGCAGCCCCTCGTGGAGTCAGGGGGCTCTGCGGGAGCCGTGGTAAGGCCTGGCCGGCTCCCCCGCAAAGGCTGACACCGGGACCGGTGTCTTGGGGGCAGTGGGCCGAGCAGCACTGGCTGAGCCGCAGCAGCCATCTCTCAGTGTCACCGAGTGTGACGGACGGACCCCACTGACAGTGTGTGCGCATGTGCCCGTGTTCACATGTGTGTGCATATGTACATGTGTGCGCATGTGCATACATACATGCGTGTGCACACACGAACCTGCATATCCAGAACATGCTTAAATATAAAAGAGGCGTCATGCCCTAGCCGGGGTAGCTCAGTGGATAGAGCGCCGGCCTGCAGACTGAAGGGTCCCAGGTTGGATTCTGGTCAAGGTCACATGCCCGGGTTATATACGGGCTCAATCCCCAATAGGGGGCGTGCAGGAGGCAGCCGATCAAAGAGTCTCCCTCCTCATCGATGTCTCTCTCTCTCTCTCTCTCTGAAATCAATAAAGACATATTTAAATAAATAAATGAATGAAAGCGGCGCCATGTGCGAAAAAGGGGAGAAGCCCCCAGTGAGCCGCTCGGGGCGGCGTGCGGAGCCCACGTGG